ACCCTCCAAGTCCTCGAGAGTTCCCTCAACTGCAGCACCGGTATGTCTGGGGCCCCATGAGCAGCTTCTGCCAGTGACGGGGCCTGCCGGGTGCCAGTGAGCGTGCCTCCAGTGTCCCCATTCCAAGCAGGATGCTCCAAGGGCACCCTCACTTGTAATCATCACAGTCCTCTCATGACTGGGGTGTGATGTCCCCATTCCACAGATGAGGAAACAGGCTAGGAGAGATTAAATCACGTGTCCAGTCACTCCCACACAGCCAGTAAGTGGGAGAGTTGGGGCCACTGAGTCAGGGACTCAGTTCAGTCTACCCAGGAGCCACCGTGCTGCCCACCTGGACCAGGGGCACGGGACCCTCATGGCACTGCCCTTCCCAGGGGAGATGCTGCTGCTCTGGGGGCGGCTCACATGGAGGAAGATGTGCAGGAAGCTGTCCGGCATGACCTTCAGCTCCAAAGCCAACACGCTGGTGGTGAGGCAGAGGCGCGTGCGGCCAGGAGGTGGCGTGGTACTGCGGTATTCCAGCCGACCTGCCCCAGAAACCTTCCACAGAGGTATGGCCAGGCGCCGGAGCCTCCCCTGCTCCCTGCACAGCGGCCGGACGGGTGCTGCTGCCACCGGGGCTGGTCCCGACGGGGCGGAGGGCAGGCAGCCTGGGAGCCTACTGAGAATGAGGTGGCAGTGCCTTCTTGGATGCCCCCAGCATCCCTGCCCCAGGGTGGCCACTGTGGGTCTGCACGTGCAGTCAGGATGAGGCCCAGGAATGTGCTGTGTCCCCTCTTCTCTGAGGCCCCGCAGTGAGATAGGCGGGCGTGGGACTCCAGCCATATCCTCACCCTGTCCTTCAGGCCACCACAGCCCCACACCCTGGCCCTCAGGTCCTTCAAGATCTTTTAAGGTCCTTCTGGGAGCCGCTCTCCCCAGCCCTGTTCTCTTGGCTCACCGTCCACAGAACAGGGTGTGTGTGTGAATGCTTTCACACATGTGTGTGCACACGCACACATCATGTAGAGGATGGCATCCCAGAGACCCCTATTTTGCCCACGGCCCCATCGGTGTCCTCAGTAGCCCTCTAGGTTGCATCAGGGGGCTTGTCATCTCCCAACAGCCCCAGCTGGCTGAGGTGGCTTTCTGGGCTGGTTCCAGAGGTTTCTGGGTCCCCCCAGGCCTCAGGTGAAAAGTGGGGACACTAGAGAGCTTTTTCCTCTGCAGAGTTTTGAGGCCCCTCTCCTGCCCCTCAGCGTGGAGCTCTGCTGGTACCCCAGAGCTGGCGCCCAGCGGGCGAGGGCCCAGCCACCTTCTCATCGCTCCTCACTTCCCAGCCTCCCCACATGCGGGCACCTGGCTCAGGGGAGGCCCAGGAGGTGCAGGCAGGAGGTGCTCGAGGGGGCTCCTGATGACGGCAGTGGCCTTTGTGCCAGGCTCAGCGTTGAGTCCTCCTAAAAGTTGCCCTGCCCAGCATGTACACTTGTCCCTTCACTTTACAGAGGAGGGAAGTGAAACTCAGAGCATTTAAAGCCTTCACCTGGGGTCAAGAGCCAGGAAGCGGTAGAGGTGGGGTTCAGTGGGGCTTCTGCCTGGGAACCCCGATCTCGACCACAGCAGCATACTGCCCTCCTTGCTGCTCCCCAGCTGTGAGCTACCCTGGCCTCTGGCGTTAGTGCTCTTTCTGGGGGGCTCCTATGTCCCTGGGGTGGTGCACACCCAGTCCATCCACCTGCTCTCCCCTGCAGATTGTGACACGCAGCTCTTTGGACCCTGGGGTGAAATCGTGAGCCCGTTGATGAGTCCAGATGGGAGGAATGTGGGGGGCTGCCGTGTCTTCATCGACGTGGCTCCACGGGCCCGGATCGCTATCCATGCCCTAGTCACCAACAGGGCCACCGGAACCGAGGGAACCGATGCCAGCTACATCTTGGTGAGGCTGCCAGGATGAGGACAGGAATGGGCTGACTTTTGCTATGAGTTTGGACAGCTGTCCTGGGAGACAGGGACTGGAGGTGATGGGCTAGAGGAGACCCTGAGTTTACTTCAGACCAAAAGCCTCAAAATCACTAGTGAAAGAATGGGAGAAAAGAGTTTCCTTCACTTATTCACCACCAAATGTTTATTGAGCTCCCTACAAGAGTGAAATGGAAAAGACCTTTTCTGATGTAGACCGCCCATTAACCCAGGACAAAAGCATGATGTTAGACCCAGATATAACTTCACCAGGAGAGCAGGCCAACCCCTCCCCGTCAGGTTTCCTGTGTTCTAGAAGAACTATCCTCTGCAAGGTATCAGCTCCCCTGGAGGAGGCAGCCTGATCTCTGGAATCAGACAGAACCTGGGCTCAAATCCCAGCTCTAGCACCCTGGCTGTGTGTCCTTGGGAAAGTGGTACAACTCCTCTGAGCCTCAGTTTCCTGGGTAGAATAATAGTATCTTCCTGATACGGCTGTTGTGTGGGGATTAAATGTGAGTCTCAGTGCACGATACCTTGTATATTAAGGGCTCCATGAATGCTAGCCAATTATCATATGTGGCCGGTCCTTCGGGACTGCCCTTTTCCTCCCAGATCCGGGACATCCACAGCCTGAGGACGACGACATTCCTTGGGCAGCAGGCGCTCTACTGGGAGTCAGAGGGCAGCCGGGCTGAGATGGAGTTTAGCCAGGGCTTCCTGGAGGCACAGGCCAGCCTGCGGGGCCAGTACTGGACCCTCCGATCTAGAGCCCAGGAGCGCGGCAGGACCCTGCCCTAGCTTCCTCTCCAAGCACATCCCTCAGTTGACCCGTGGGTGCAGTGGGATGCCTCTTCCCCGTCCGGGAAGGGAAAGGAAGAACTCGACATTTATAAGCACCTGTTGGGGGCTTGGCCAGCCCTGGAGGGTTGTCTCTGAGTGCTTTCCAATTTGAATTCCCTCCAATCTCGAGTATCTCTTTTAGGGTCTCCTCCGATGGGCAAAAGACTGGGTGGTGGAAGGGGGCAGTCTCTGGAAAGGCAGCCCCCAGCCCCTCGGGTACCAATAAACGGAACGTGCGGTCTGAGTGGTATTTTCTTCACCTAACCTGTCAAATCCGGCTTGAAAACCCACGCCACGGCACGGTGGGGATTCCCTGGCCGCGGTCGGGCTGCAGACCCATTCCTGACCTGAGCACGCCCTCGCCACCCCTAGCGGTCTTCTTCCTCCCCGGGGAGAAGGAGAGGCGAGGGAGTGTGCAGTCACGATTGGGCCCTGATGCGGGCGCACCTGTTAATTCTCTGCGAAGCCCCGCCCCTACGCCTGTCCGGGGAAGGATTTGACCACCTGGGAGGACCGCGCGGCCAGGACCCGCCCCCTATGCTAATGAGCGCCAGCCCTACAGGCGCACCTCGTCGAGGCCCCGCGAGCCCCGCCCCTATGCTAATGAGCAAAGCACGCTCGGGCCCACCTCACTGGGCCCCGCAAGCCCCGCCCCCACGCTAACCAGCAGCCGCCTCTCCCACAAGGCAGCGCGCCGGGCCGACGCGGCCGGCTCGGGGCTCTTTGTGAGCGCGGCGAGCAGCGCTGGCGGCGGCACCATGAGCGGCTCGGGCGGGGCGGCAGCGGCGTCCGTCGGCTCCGCGCAGGCGGCGCAGGAGGAGGGCATGACGTGGTGGTACCGCTGGCTGTGTCGCCTTTCGGGGGTGCTGGGGGCCGTCTGTGAGTACCCGGCCCCCGGGAGGGGCCGGCCCCGCCGCCCGCCGCGCATGCGCGCCCGGCCCCGCCCCCCTGCCGCGGCCTCCGCGGGAAGGGACGCGCGGGAAGGGGACCCCGGGGAAAGGGCTCCCACAGGGATGACCCCGCGGGAGGGGGACCCACGGGGATGGACCCACGGGACGGGACCCTCGGGACGGCCCTGCCAGAAGGACAGTCCAGAAGGGAACCTGAACGCTCGCGGGGAGCGCCGGACTCGACGCGGCCCGGTCGCTGCCTCTCCGCGCCTCCTCTGGGAGTAAGGACGGGGCGGCACCTCCTCCAGGGCTCTCCGCGATTGCTCAGATGCTGCTTGTAAGGCGCCGGTTCAGCCTGGGGCGGCAGCTCGCCTGTTGACTTGGGCGTGGGTGGGGGCCGCAGCCGCCTTAACCTTCGGGCGAAGGTTGTTTACAAGTGGGGCGGGTGCCAGTCTGGTCAAATTTCCTCAGAGTCAGGTGGGGCCAGGGGCCAGGTGGTCCCCGAGGGAGGGCCAGGCGTGAGCTGAGGGCGGCGACCTCTCCTCTGGGTCCTCATTGTCCACTTGGAGGCCCGTGCCTTACCTCTGTTGTCAGTCCTGCCGCAGCCACCTCTCATCTCTTCTCCTACCTCTCAACCCCATCCCTGACCCCCCCCCCCCCCGCCACCTCAAGCTTCCTGGGAAGCCAGGCTTTTAGTACAAGCCCCCAAAAGAACATGAATGGGAAGGCAGATGTGATGCAGAAGTAAAGTAGTGATCGTAGGGCAGGCCTCCGAAAGGCAAACGTAAGTCTGTTTGAATGGTCTGCTCTCTTCTTCCTGCTGCCCTGAGCATTGCGAATTCCTGGAGTGGGAGAGGGCACAGCCACAGGTCTTAGAAAGGGCATGTCTGCTGGGGGCATCTCGGGATTGGAGCAGTGCCTGCCTGGCAGAGAGGGCTGAGGCCAGGGCATGGCAGACCCTGATCAGATCTGCCAGCAGAATCGGCTTTTCAGGGTCCTCTTCCAGTCCCCCAGTCCTCCCAGGTGGGTGGAGGCTGGAAGGAAGTTCAGGCGGGAGTGCAGGGTTAGGGGTGTGCTGTTCTGGCAGGACATGCCCTTATCCAGAGCTGATCGTGGGGCAGGCCCTCCTGCAGTCACAAGAAGGCCCTGAGTCCCTGTCACTGCTGCTCAGAGGAAGTGTGTTTCTGACTTCGTGGAGAGATTGGTGGCTCGAGGCCAGGCCTTAGATATGATCCTCTCAAGTTTGGTTGGCTGTTTCCCTGGCAGATTCGAGCCGGGGCGGGGGGGGGGGGGTGCCATGGGGAGTGACATTGGTCAGTAGAGGAGAAAGGAAAGGTCCTGATTGTGGCCTGTGGGCCCTCCCCTTCCCTCCATCTTATAGTCAGCAGCCCTGCCGACCCCATGGTTACCTCTGGCATCCCAACCAGTTCTATACCTCTCAAAGTGGGGTGCCTGGGCTGCCCAGGAGTTCATGGGGTTGGGGCTACAGATGGAGCTTCAGGAGAAACTCATGGCATCACCCTGAAATGTCAGTTTCACCTGCAGATTTGGGAGGAGGTGATCATTATGTGAATACCAAATAGCATATTACAGAGTGAATGCAAAGCAGGCAGGAGTTGTAGGGATGAACTGGGAGTTCAGATAAGGGTGGTGCTTCTGGCTGGTCACTTTGGGGTAGTGTCACCCTGCTCTGCTGTGGAGGTCCTCGAAGAGGCATTTACTCTGGGTCCTAACAATCATCTGGAGGCAATAGCTTGGGAGGAGAGAGGATTGCACAAGACACCTCCCTCACTTAGCGCAAGCACTGGGGACCCTGAGGGGACATCCTCCAGCCCTTGATTAAGGGACTCCTGGCTGGAGCCTGTTTGTCTGGGTTGAAACCTGGTCCTGCCCCAAGGTTGGCTGTTGGTAGGCCGGTTGGGGTAAGGTGGGAGTTGGAGGGGAAATGCTGGCTGCAGCAGGAGGTGTAGGCCGCTGTCGGGTGAGACAGGGCACAGCTCACAGGCAGAAGCAGGATCGTCTCGTGGGCACTCACATCTGTGGCCCTGGGGGACCTTGCTGCCTGAGTGCGTATGTGGCATGTCCAGGACAAGTGCTGCCTTTTTAGTAGGCAGAGACTACGTCTGTGGTTTTAGGGGACCTTGGGGGGCACACGAGGGCAGGCCCATTGCAGTGGGCTCACTTCCTCTGGTTTCCTCCTCCATCGCTGCTGTCTGCGTAGGGTTGCACGGGAAAACAGCAGAAGAGTCCAGGCCTGTGTCAGGGATCAGGTGCAGAGGAGCTGCTGCAAGTTTAATGAACTGGTTGCTGATTGCTGCCTCCGAGGGCACAGCTTCCTGCCCTGCCCCAGCTGTGGCCTGGGCTTGCTTCCTGCCAGCAGCCAGCTCCCTGGACCTGCCTGGCAGGCTTCCGGAGTTCCTGGTGCAGCCGGGCTGTGGGCTGTGGGTCGAGGAGGGAGGTGAGCATGGCAGACCGTGCCCGTGGGGAGCAGCGGGGGCGATGGGCAAGGCTCCATATTTGGGGTGTTTGAGAAGCCACTTTGAGGGGTGGCAGAGGATGCATCTCTCCTCGTTGCCTCTTGGCATTTCACGGGTGGCTGGACTGGACTGTGGGACTTGCCTGTGTGCAGGAGAGAAAACAGGCCTAGAAAGGTGACTAGCACATACCCCAGGTCACTCGGCAGGTGTGGGAGTCAGAGCTGGAATTGTGACCCAGGTCTGCCTGGTCCTGATTTCTGTTCTAAGAGAGGCAGCCCCTTCCCAACGCAAGTTCAAGCCACGGTTGCAGGGCTAGAGGACTCCTATGAATGGTGACGCCTGTCCTGGCCTGAGCCCCTCGGAGATGGTCTCTCTCATCCTAACCACCTTGCGAGGTGGGTATTGGTACAGCTGGGCTTCAGAGGGCAGGCTCCTCCAAGCCCCGGAAGAGAGAGTGAGATGCCCTGGCAGCTGGACCGAGCTCTGAGATCCAGCCGCACCCTTGTTGTGGCCTGGGGCCACTGCTTTACCTGAGTCTGCCTTCTCACCTGTGACAGGAGCAGTTAGGTCGGCCTCACTTTCTCAGATGGCGGGGGGCCGCTTCTGGGTGCTGTGAGAAGAGCCAAGTGCTAGATGTCGGAAGGGATTCTCGTAATTTCACAAGCCGTCTCCCCTGGTGGCCTTCCCTTCCTCCCTGCTAATTCCTTCTGTGTCTCTTGCTTTCAAGCTTGTGCCATCTCCGGCCTCTTCAACTGCATCACCATCCACCCTCTGAACATCGCGGCCGGCGTGTGGATGATGTGAGTAGCCACGTGCCTGTCCTGCCTGGTGGGCTTGGGGTGCATGGATCTCTGGCCTCCGTGCACATCTTCACCTCCTTCCTACCCTACCCTGTCCAGTTTTCCTCATCCTCATTAGGGCCTGGGCCAGGGGAACACCCACTCAGGCCTTTATTGGGTGTAGGGCCGAGGCCACAAACGTTTCCTGAGTGTCTACTGAGTCCACTACCATGGGCCTCACCTCTGGGAGCTCCTGGGGCTGTCAGGGCCGGCCGAGAACCGAGTTGGAGGGACAGTGTCTGATGGGGCTGGAGTCACGTGCTGGGAATCTGGAGATCCAGCTTGGAGGTGGGCAGGCGGTGCCACCCACACACAGCGCAGGTCAGAGTTGGTGCAGGATCAGGCGGTTAGAATGGCAACCACCTGTCAGGGCAGCTCTATCTTGCTGGAGGGGAAGGCAGGGTGAAAGCTGGCCTGTGAGCTCTGGCTGCATCTGACCCCCTGAGGCCTGTGCGAAGTGGCGGTGCGGCAAGCATCGTCCCTGTCCACATGGGGTTTTGGTCTAGGAGGGGCGTGGAGATGGACAGGATGCCATCCTGCCTTCAGAGAACTCAGGCCAGCAGTGAGGCTTGGAGGCCTGCTGTGGGGCACAGAGACCTGTGCTGGCCAGAGGCAGCAGGGACAGGGGTCACAGGGGAGAGGCACTGGACCTGGGCTTCAGGGGGGCTGCGTCAGGACACTGGCCAGCTTGCATGTGGAAGGGCTGGCTGAGCAGGAGTGAGAGTCATGTGGGAGGTCTGGCCTGTGAGGGTCACTGGATGCTGGCAGTGTGTGGGATGCTTGGGCTGAGGGCAACGCTAGTTGTGCAGAGAGTTCCTGTTCTGGCGCTCCGGTGGGTTCTTGGGGGCTCTGAGCCTTTGTTTCTGTCAGACGAGCAATGAGGGCACTTCCCCCCAGGCTTGGGGGCGGATGGAAGGGCCTGGCACGCTGTAAGGGCCCGGTGTCTGGTAACTGCGACTGTGACCCCCCCACGGAGGACCCAAGACTGGAGCAGACACCCTCAGTCACCGGGGCTTCGCTGGCCCCAGCCCCAGCCTGGGGGTCTGCACTGAAGGGCTTGCTGAGGTCCCTCCCCCCAGTGTCGGCGACTGCGGACTGGCTGAGCTGCTGTTGGGGACAGCTCTGTCGGTGCTGGTGGCGCTGTCACTGGTCATAGCGATAGCGTGAACAGGCGACTGCTGAGGCTGGCTCGCTGAAAGGCCTGGGTGCAGGAGCTCAGCGCCTGCTCACAGACGGGAAGGATGGCATTCAGCGAGGGGACTGGTGTGTGGGAACGGCCGGGGAGTGGTGACACGTTCAGCAGAGGCTCTGAGAGGGAGAAATGGGTGCCCTGGAGAGGAGAGGTGGGGGAGGAAGGGTGGCATTCTGGTGGTGCGGGCGCCAGGCCCCCGGGCCCCTGATTGTCAGCCGGCCCCTCTTCTCCCCCCCGCCCTCCAGTCTGAACGCCTTCATCCTGCTGCTCTGTGAGGCGCCCTTCTGCTGCCAGTTCGTCGAGTTCGCGAACACGGTGTCGGAGAAGGTGGACCGGCTGCGCTCCTGGCAGAAGGCTGTCTTCTATTGCGGGTGAGGGGCCCTGGGGCAGGGCAGGGATGGCCTGGGGTCTCCCCTCGACGGCCCTGTCAGGGTTCCCCAAAACACCACTTCCTCAGTGACCCGAAGGGCAGGCGAGGGCGTTGGCGAGTTTGAGGGGACACAGGTGCATTCGTGTGCTCTCGGTCGAGGTGTAAACTGGGCCAGCCTTTGTGCAGTCATTGGTGACAGCTGCTATAAATGTGACCCAGCAGTTCTGCGTCTGGGGGCTTAGCCCACAGCGCGGTCCTGCAGGATGCAGATGGGAGGTGTGGATGCCTTAGAGCACTGTGTGTGTAGAGAACAATGACGACCGCCTGCGATTTTGGCCCATCAATTGGGAGTCATTAAACAGATTCTGGTGGATCCGTATGATGTGTTTCTGTGCAGCCTTTCAAGAGTGCGGTCAGTCATGTCAGGACGTCCTGACCTGAAAGGGAAAAAAGCAAGTTTCAGAACAGAAAATACTGCCTTCTGAATATGCTTTTCTCTTATTTTCCTATTTCTGACAATTCATGTGTAGTGCTTCACGTCTGAGTCATGAGATTGAACTAATTCAGGATGTGTTTGATACAAGGAAGCCTCTAGAACAGTGCCTGGTGCATAGGAGTCCCTCAACAGCTTCTGGCAGCAGCAGCAATAGTTACCATTATCCAGGTTATCTTTAGAAATAAATACGGAAATTTTTATTTCCAAGGTCTTCCCTTCCGGAGGCCCAATGGTTTTGAAACCATCAGAGCACAAGATGCGTGTTTGGTGCCTGAGCCGTTTCCCACTGTGTCCAAATCACAGAGGACAGGGTCACAAAAGACCTTGCATCTTTGTATCCTTGGCCTCCATTTTTTAAAAATGTATTTTTTTTTTTTGAGGAAGATTAGCCCTGAGCTAACATCTGCCAATCCTCCTCTTTTTGCTGAGGAAGACTGGCCCTGAGCTAACATCCGTGCCCTTCTTCCTCTACTTTATATGTGGGACGCCTACCACAGCATGGCTTGCCAAGCAGTGCCATCTCCGCACCCGGGATCTCAACCAGCGAACCCTGGGCCGCTGAAGTGGAATTTCCGCACTTAACCGCTGTGCCACCGGGCCGGCCCCTAAAAATGTATTTTGAAATGCTAACAGTAATATATGTTCATTAAAAATAATTTGGAAAATAGAAAATTGTTACCCAAAGCCCCACTACCTGTTAACATTTTGATATGTGTTCTTTCAGTCTGTCCTCAGGCGTTTTTTAAAACCTGTTTCTCACTTAGTTGTAACCGTTATAAGTAAATTTGTATCCTGCTGTTTTTCACTTAATATGATATATTTTCAGTATCACCACAAAGACTTCCTAAGATTATTTGTAATGTTAGGAATCTTTATGTAACAGGATATATCGTGCTTGTCTTAATTTGTAAACTGCTGTGAATCAAGCTGTGATGAACAGCGATGTGCTGAAACTTTTTCTGTGTTTACAGTGATTTCCTGAGGATGTATTTCAAGGTGTGGAATTATTAGGTCAGAGATTATGATTGTTTAGAAGATTTTGATACGGGACTAAATTGCTTTCCAGAGAGGTTATCTGAGTTTCCCCCCCGTCTCCATCCTCCTGAGCTGGGTGCCATTTTCACATCTGTATCTGTGTCTAAGAGGTGAAATAATTTTCCATGTTTTTTATCAGTTGCATTTTCTGTTTTGAAAATCGTCTAGTTTACTTACTCCCTATTGGCATCTTACTGTTTACTTAGCAAGTTATATGTGTTTTCCATGTTAGCAGTCTCTTAATCCTTTGTTATGTTTCCTGCAACTATTTTTGCAGCCTGTTGTTTTCCTTTAATTTTGTTTCGACAGATTTTTCCCTTGTGGTCTTTTTTTTTGGTTTTCTTTGTAATTTCTATTATTCTTTTATTACTTAGACGTTTATAGCTACAATAGAACGTCACGATCACATGTCCCTCCAGAATGGAAAGTCAGGGAGAGTTCAGTTGGTCAAGCCCCATTCTCCTCCGCTCTGGCAGCCAGGTGGCTACAGGCTCAGTCTTGTCGTCTTTGTGTACAGGGTGTGTGTGGGCAGGCGAGGCCAGTGGGGATCATGGGCAGCCTTGTCCAGGGAAGTGACAGGACAGCATGCTGGGCCTCCACTCGCTGATATTTTCCTGACCTGGTTGACCCTGAATCACTGCCACTGGTCTGGAAATCCCGGCCAGGACCCGGAGTCAGCCCCCTGGATGCTTAAGCCAGAGTGGACGCCTGCCACCAGGTGGCGCCAAACTGCAGTTGGGCCGGGCCGGCTCACTGCGCCCGGCAGGAGGCCTGCGAGGGGCGCCCGCGGCTCCTGCATGTGCACGTTCATTTTTGGCGTCTCTCTTGTTGACATATGGCTGACTCTGCTGTGCTAGTCAGAGCCAGCAGGTACTTGGTGCCTGTGCTGTTGCAGGCATCGTGTGCGCAGTGTCACGTGCCCTACCTCGTTCTGTCTCCAGACCTCTGAGGGGCAACGCTCACTTCACAGTAGACAGACATTAAGGAGCTTGCCCACAGTCACACGGCTCCAAGGGACTGAACTGACACTAGGTTTTCTGATCTGCCTGTTCTTATGAGCAGTGAGGGTGGAACCACCTCAGTGCTGTTGAACACTTTTTGGATGACAGACCCTTTCAAAACTAACAGAAGCTTTGGGTCCTCCCCCCAGAAAATGCACAGAATCTTGCAGACGGCTTCGGGGGTGTTTGAGGAGTTTCTGAAGCCTGGCTGTGAACCTGGGTCCCGGCTGATTTCTGGGGATCCTTCCTGGACAGGCTGGCTGGGAAGGAGGCTGACGTGGAGCAGGGGAGCCTGGGAGTGGTGTGGTGGCCACGGGCTGGGAGTGCCCCCATGACCTCTGCTTCTCCCCTAGGATGGCCGTCGTTCCCATCGTCATCAGCCTGACCCTGACCACGCTGCTGGGCAACGCCATCGCCTTTGCCACGGGAGTGCTGTACGGACTCTCTGCTCTGGGCAAAAAGTGCGTTTGCTGGTCTCAGGCCCTGGGAGGGATCTTGACTTCTGCCTCCCGGAGTCTCTTAGTGAGGAAGGTCTGAGAGTGGTCCCTGTTATTCACTTGTGGAAACTGAGGCACAGAGGTTGTCAGTGACTCTGGTCAGTGTCTCCAGGGCGTTGAGCTCTAGGGAATGAGAGCAGGCGTGTTCATGAAACTTCCTGGGGGTCCAGTTGTGCCTCGTCACAGCCTGTAGCAGGGAAGGCAAATGTATGGCTCTGACAGCTCATCCCACCCCGGGCCCACACCTGGCACTGGAGTCAACTGCTGCCCTCTCTTGCAGAGTGTGGCTGAGACTCTGCATCCTTCTCAACCCAGCATGCCAGGCAGACTTGTCTTTGTCATCCTAGCAATAGGGTCTCTGTCTGGGGAAACAAGAAAGCCCAGTAGGCTCTGCCTGCAGGTCACACCCAGGTCACAGGCCAGGAATCGGGTGGTGTCTGCGAGGGCTGTGTGCTTGGAGGTCTGTCCCCTGTGTGATACTGACTCACTGTCTCCCCAGGGGCGATGCAATCTCCTATGCCAGGATCCAGCAGCAGAAGCAGCAGGCGGATGAAGAGAAGCTCACGGACACCCTGGAGGGGGAGCTGTGATGTGGCCCAGGGTGACCCTCCCCTCCCTGCTCGCCCCTCTGGTTCTGTGTGAGCGTGTGCCAGAGGGATGAGGCCTGGAACGTTGACCCTGAAGGACAGCCTGGAAGAGGAGCCTTTGCCTGGCTCCCATCAGCCCCTCTGCCCCTGTCCTTGTCCCTGGAGTCCTCCTGTCTGCCCCTCTCCAGATGGGTGTCTCCTAGGTCTGAGCCAGGTGCTCAGGGGCTGGGGTGAGGGGCTGAGGGCCTTGGCCTTGGCCAGCAGCAAGGAGGTCGGCATGGTGGCATGGTGGCAGGCAGTGTGAGCCTTGCAGGTGACCCAGGCCACAGGACTCGAGGCAGAGCAGAGCCTGCAGTAGCTCTGCCCAGGCTGCCCACCTGGCCCCGTCCCTCCCAGCCGGCCTGGCTCGGTGGGAAATGGGCTGCTGGGAGGATTTCCAGACCTGTACAGCTGGCAGATGCACTGGGGACCAGCTGAAGGCCTGGGAGGAGCTTCCCCTGGAGATGTTGGTCCTGTCTGCAAGAGGGAGGCACGTCACCTGGGCTGGGCATCAGCCCGACTGAGCCTCCTCTTTGCTCTCCAGGCAGGAGAGTGTCCTGTAGGCTGAGCCACCAGGGCCTGCCTTTGTCCACCTGTCATCAGGGCAGAGCAGTGTCATGCTGCCCGTGGCTTCCCACCACTGCCCAGGGCCCTCCCTGTCACTCTCTTCTCTGTGAGAGCCCACAGCTCTCCTAAGACGTTCCTCGAGTATCCAGAACAGCAGCCTTGACAGCAACCGGACAGCGGGTGGGTACTCCCCCCTCCCCCAGTTCCCTGGAACCTTGGACAAGCCATTCCAGGACATTTCCCATGGGCCTGGCCTCCACCTCCCCAGGCCCTGGTGCTAAGGAAGTGGGGAGGGCAGGCTTCCCCCTGCCCTGTGGGGTTGCCCATCCACTTCTCTGGTGTGGTCCTGCTGTGTCAGTGGCAGTCCAAGCCCGGTTAGTAAAGAATGAGCTTGACCCACCTCCGGTATTCTTGCCGGCCTCTGCCCTGCCCTGCCCTGCCCTGCCCTGCCCTTGGGGAGTTTCCTGCCTTTTGAGAGCTGGGTAGAGGCTAGAGCCACCTTCCTTACCATGAGCTGTCCCCACTGCCCTGGGTGCCAGGCCACCAGGGAGCCAGGCCTGTGTGGAAGCAGCCCTGCCTGGGACGTGCACCATCGCCTCCCCCAGCCTCCCTCCATGCCACCATCCCTTCCTTCCACCCTGTCCACCTCCTTCCTCCTCAGCGCACTGGCCGCTGCCGGCTGGCACTCAGCAGTTTAGGCCTGTCCCATGGGACCTGGTGGAGCCTGGGCGGCACTGGGCAGAAGTGGGCTGGTGTGGAAAATGCTCCGTCTGGGACCCAACCCCCACTCCTCCTCCTCCCAGGACCCCAGGCTGGGCCTGCTCCAAGCTCCCAGAGTGCAGGGGCCAGTCTTGCTGCGTGGAACCTGCCCCAGGGCTGTGCCCAGGTCTTTGCCTCCCAGAGGGACCTTTTGTCTCTGGGGTTTGTGAGCGTTTGGGGCTGGGAGCGGCAGGTACTGTCCTCGGGACACATTGGTGGGCTCCTGGGCAGCAGCAGCCCTCCAGGGAGCCTAACCAGGCCGAGCCCCAGGTGGCAGGTTGCTGCACTGCAGCCAGCATATGGGACACGTGCCTTCAGGGGTCCTCTGGGGCCATCTTCCTCAGGCCAGTGCTTGGTTCAAAGGGCTGTGGGCTCTGTGCCACTCCAGGCCGGCGGGGTATGTGCATGTGTTTGCGTGCGTGTGCGTGTGCGTGTATCTTCTCTTGCGTGTGCTGTGAATAAGACCTGTCTACCTCCCAGGAGGAGCAAGGGCCTGCCCTCCCCTCTTGGCTCATTCTTATCTAGGAAGTTGGACTTGGGGTCGCTTCTGCGCAGCCCTCCGGCCCCTGCCTCGGGCCTCGCTGACGGGCTTTGCTCACTGCAGAAGGAGGGCTGGCTGTGTGTCGAGGAAGGTTGCACCTCCACACTGAGGAAATGGGCTGGGTGTTGGGCGGGCTGTAGAGTTGGACACAGATGGAAGGGCCCTCCACCCCCTCCATCACAGGCCAGAGTGGGCAGGTCACTCGCCCAGCTTCCCAGTGAGTATAGTCAAGCAGTCCTGAGCTGGGACCCAGTCTCCCACTGGGGGGTCCCGGCTTGCAAGGAACATCTGTCCAGGTGGCGGAAGGGGCTGAACCAGCCGGGCTGCCAGGGCCCACTCCTACCTCCGTGGGTCTGGACTCGGTCCTCTGGTCCCCATTCTCGGGATTGAGCGTGTGCTTTGAGCAATAAAGGCTGGCGGTAGTCTGCTCGCTCGCCCTCTCTGCCTGGTACCTTCTGTGCCATCAGGACGTGGTAGGGATGTTCAGACCCCATTCCAGCTGCGCAGGGCACCGGCCCTGGGAGGAGCTGCCGTCTATCGCAGACCTGCTGTGCCGCGGGCCTGTCTTGAGCCTGCTCACAGCGCCGCAGACGAGGACAGTGGCCACACAGCTGTGAGGAGCTGCAGTCCACCAGGCAGGCTGACCCCCTGGCTGGGCTCTGCCTCACGGGCCGCCTCACCCCTTCCTTCTCTCTGCCTCCCTGGGCACAGGTCGCGCGTAGCTGTAAAGGGGGCCCCCCTAGGGCAGCAGGACCTGGTGACCTTGGCTGAGAATTTGGGTCTAGCTAGAATAGGCCTGCTCCTTCCTCTCCAGGGCTGCAGGCCCGATTTCTTTATTTTTACAAATAGAGTGAACATGGTTTGCAGACACGAGCCCTCGAGAGCCCCCCTGAGGGTACTGTACTGGCGAGTACAGGCGGAAGTTCTGTGTCGGGTTCTGTGCCCCAGCCTGTGGGAGTCCGCACCGTTCCCTGTGGCCTCCACAAGCCCTCCCAGGTGCAGATCTGTCTTCTTCCCTGTAGCCAAGATGCTCAGTGGTGGCTGAGTGATCAGGATGATGTGACGATGTCCCTGTGCGGAGCCACTCGGCCACCTCCAGCCCTGTGTCTGTGTCCTCATCACAGCCCTCTGTGGGGGGTGTCCTCTGCTCAGGAGTAAGGAAATGGGCCCTATGTCACCCTACAGGGCCCTGTCTCCAGGCCCTGGGCAGTGTGCTCCCCTGTGGCCCACAGCTGCCTCCTCCATCAGCAGCTCTTGGCCAGTGAGTGTGCAGCTCTGTGGGCTGCCTGAGTTGGGGCCCAGGCTGGTTGGGTGTTGCCTGCCCAGAGCCAGGACACGCACTCTGGGGGGTTGTTGCGCTTCTGGCCGGTCCTCCTGTGCTCTGGCTGATGGCAGGTTGCTGCTGCTTTCTGGACTTGGGGTGCAGGTTTGTGGACAACACAGAGGCCTGGCCACCCAGTGGTTTGGCCCCTCCTAGGCAGGGACCTTGACTTAGCGCAGGAAGGACCTCCTCCCGGTGCGGAAGAAGGACTCGATCTGCTCCAGTGACCGGCCCTTGGTCTCGGGCACGCAGCAGCCAGTGAACAGCAGGTTCACCAAGCAGATGGCAGCAAAGAAGAAGAAAGGCACCTGGAGGCCGAAGGCGTTCTGGGGGTGTAGAGTGGGTGCTGCGTCACACAGAGGGAACCCAAGGGTCCTCCCACCCTAGGACGAGCTTCATGGGCCCTGCTGCTGTTAGCCAGCCTTGGGGGGGCCTTCATCTGCTCATTGCCTCGCTCAGAGACCTGGGGCTCCCCCCTGCCTCCAGCACAAAATCCAGATGCTTTAGCACAGCATCCGAGACCCTGGACATCTGCACGCAGCCTTCCTCTGGGTGGGCCCAGGAGTTCCTTCCCCGACTCAGCACAGCCTGCCCGGGCCTGGCCCTCAGGCCTCAGCCTCTGCTCAGGTACCCACCTCTCTCCCTTGTCCCAGTGTGCTATCTTTTGAGTTTCAGCTGTTCCACACTCCCACCTGCAGGAGGCCTGCCACCTTAGCCTGGCTGGGAGCACGCTCATGCTCTTCTGGCCCCACCCCCCAGCCATCCCCCTGTGTCCCATCCCCAGCCCCCGAAACCCCGTCCTCCCTCCCCAGCCCACACCTATCTGTGTATCTGCTGGGGCTGTGCATGCTCCACCTCCTAGCCAAGCTACCCACTCTGGGTGCCCCCCACCCTGCCCTGACCCACTGACTGCACCAGGGTAGGCACTGGCCCAAGCTGCCCAATCAGATTCTCCTCTTGGGAGTTGGGAGCTGGGACTCGGAGACTGGTGTCAGGGCCTGCTGGGATTTTGAACCAAGAAGTGGGGTTAAGCCAGCCTAGAGCTGTGTGTAGGATAGGGCACTGCACACATGCTGCATGTGGTCTGGTCAGCAGGGCACGCTGCTCAGACACCCAAACTCCCACCAAGGCTGAAGGTCCAGCTGTCCGAGGGAACAGCATGGGTAGGTGTGGCTCTCTGGGCTCTGGCCCCACCCTGGCCTGGGAAGTCATCTGACTTCTCAGAACAGTTCCCTGAGCTCATGTCCGGCTATTGCAATGAAGGAGGCTTTGCTGTGTTGTCACTTGATGGCTCTTGGCCTCCGGTGTGCAGGGGATGTGTGCTAATCTCTTGGGGGACCCCTGTGAGGCTTAGAGGACATGATGAAGCCCTCGGCACAGCCCCAGAGAGGGCTGGCGAGGTCCCTGGGGTGCTGGGGCTGAGCACTCACCACCACCAGCAGGAAGGACTTGGTGAGGGCGAAGGCCGTGAGCCAGCTGACGAGCACACAGAGCCCCGAGGCCACGCCGCGGGCCCGCAGGGGCAGGATCTCCGACATGAGGAGCCAGGTGATGGGCCCCCAGCCCATGGCATAGCCTGCCGAAGGGGGCAAGGGGCGGGCTCAGGCCCTGTGGGGTGGCTGGGGGAGGCCTCTTCTGTCTCCCCTGAGCTCTGAGGCCCCTCCCCCCACAACCAGCCCAGACAAACCAGGACAGCAGTACCCTACCCCACGACAAGCATGGCTACCACACATCACCCACAAGAGGCCCCTCTCCCTGCCCCATGGCGTCCCTGCCACACCTACCCATGATGAAGAGCATGGTGGCCAGCAGGGGTACCAGGGTGATGTAGCTGGTGGGTGTCGCCAGGGGTTGCTCTGTGCCCCCCAGGGGCATACCCTCCAGGCTCATGGTGCTGTTGGGGGTCAGATGCTTCGGACCAAAGTGGACGTATAGCCCCAGTGTCAGGTTGGCAGCAAACATGATGGCTGCTGTGGACAGACAGGTGGCCCTCAGGGGGCCAGGACTCTGAGCCAGCTGTTCCTCTGGACGCTCCCTTCATGAGCCCCTCAGTGCCCTGCGCACCGCGGCACAGCAAGCTCTGACTCCAGCCCACGTCCGAGCTTCCATCACCCCCACCATGGTGTGTCGCAGTCAGCTTGTTCACACACAAAGCCCCAGCAGACCTTTCTGCAGCAGTTGGTGCATGCCAGGTCCTGTGCCGGGTGCTGCGGAGGCAGAGGCCAACAGGGCAGGTCTCACCCAGGTCCTCCAGAGCTCCCAGCCACAGGGCGCCCACCGCAAGGGCTGGCACAACTCGTGGCAGCTGCTGAAGGAGTGAATGAATAAGATTGGGAGACAGGCCGGAGCTCACCTGAGACGAAGAGCAGAATCTTGCGGCCCGCCAGGTCCATGGTGAGGGCAGCGATGAGCACAGACAGGAGCCTCACGGCCCCTACGATGGCTGCATCATCCTTCGGGGGCTGAGGGAGGGAAACCACTGGGACTGAGGGGGCCTGGCCTGCCACTCCTGTCCCCCCGGCCCCCTAAAGCCCCAAGCCATGGCCATAGCTCCCTTGGAGCACTGAGCCACTGAGCACCCACGCTGTGCCAGGTGCTCTCTCTGGTCACCCGGCCTAGCCTGCTGGGCCTCTGGGCAGGGGCACAAATGCTGTGCCCACCGCTGAGCCCAGGGCCAGCACAGAATCCAGGCATGACAATGACCAGTGGAACTGTGCTATTGCCAATCTTCAAATCTCATCTCCCTTTGAGCGCAATGAAGCCAGACTCTGTTATCTCCATTCTGCAGAGGAGGAAGCTGAGGTTTGGAGGGGAAGTGAATTTCCTTAGCGAGTGGCAGATGCTCTGAACCTGGGGTCCATGGTCCCCGAGAGGTCTGCATTTCTATAAAACTGATTTCCTTTGTAATCCTGTATATTTTATTTTAAAACACATAAGCTTTACTTACAAACATTCTGAGAACAAGTACATGGCACAGAAACAGTTAAGAGACCCTAGTGGTCTCCGCATGGTGTATGCTCCCTTGCCATGTGGCACAGAGCAGGTGCTCAGAAAGGGCTGCTGGGGGCGGAGCTGGCACAGGGCCTGGGCTCTCACCAGCAGGACAGCCGTGCTGTCGAAGATGGACTGCAGGTAGACGAGGATGGGCGTGATGCCGGTCAGCTGCTGCAGGAAGCGCATCAGCAGGGCGATGAGGATGGGTCGGTACATATGGGGGTCCCGGGCCTCAGCCCACGACATGCGGCTGCTCTGGAGACAGGAGACGGCCGCTGAGGGAAGCAGGCCCCACCTGGCCGGACTGCAGGGGGCTGAGTAGGAGATTCTGTTCTTCTCTCCTCCAGGAAAGAACCTGCACACTGAGGCCACTCAGGCCAGGCGACAGGCCCGGGGGACCCCTGCCCAAACCCCAGGCTCTTGCATTAGAGGGTAGGCCAAAGCAGACTCCTGCTTGTCTCTGGGTCCCCAGGCACCCACCATACGGACATCCCCCACCGTTCCAGGTTCCTGGAAGTGGGAACTGCTTGATGGAATCTCCGTTTTCCAGGAAAAGCAACAGAGGCTCAGACAGGCCTAGGAACTGGCCATGGCCACATCGAGCTGTGGGCGCCCACCCCTTCCCCACCTGTCTCCGGACGTTGTCCTGGATCTGCTCGAACTCCCAGCGGATGTCGGTGTCAGCCCCTCGCAGCCAGGCCAGCGCCCGCATGGCCTCCGAGTCCCGGCCCCGTGAGAGCAGGAAGCGAGGCGAGTTGGGCATGAAGCTGAGCAGCAGGATCATGACGAGCACGGGCCCCTCCCCGGCCACTGCCAGCCAGCGCCAGGGCAGCAGGAGGCCTAGGGGTGAGGAGAGGGTGAGGAGCTGGGGCCAGGCTGCACCCAGAGCCCCTCCCACTGGGGCCTCTGAGCCACCTCGTCTGCCGTCAAGGGCTAGTCCCAGGGCCTCAGGGCTTCCCTAGTCCTGTGGAAGACTACCCTGATTGCCCCAGGCCTCTGTGATCTAGCCCAGGAGGGCCACAGGGATTGCTTGGCGCCTAGCCCAGGGCCCAGCACACCGTAGGGGGTCCTCAGAGGGTCTCAAGGGCCATGGCAGGGTGACAGAGGGGTAGCCTGGGCAGGCAGGGCCCCAGGCCTCCACCTGCAACTCCACCCTGCCCCCCAACCAGCTCTGATCTCTTTTCTGTACAGACTTCCCATCTAAGACTATTCGATGGAAAGATTCTGCTGTGAAAAGACAGTTCAAAGACTGCTGGCCCAGGAGAAGCCCTCACTGCCCAGTTAGGGATGGGGCTCGTGACCAGAGAGGGGAAGAAATTGCCTTGAGGTATACAGCAAGGTGGTGGCCGAGCAAGTCTCTTGCCTCCCACCCTGGGGTTCGTTTTGGGATGTGTTCATTCCCTTTCCAGCCATGTCTGCTCAGTGGCACCCTGTCCCCACCCAGCCTGCACACCAGAGGTGCTTAATCTCATCCAGATGATACTTGCCAAGGGCGTAGAGGGACAGTGATCCGAACACTGCCATGAGCTGAGGCGTGGCCCCCAGGGCCCCACGGACGCCTGGGGTAGCGATCTCAGACACGTACACCTGCAAGACATGTTGCCCCAGCCCGGCCTTTGGTGAGAAGGCAGGTTCCCGGGCCTGGCCGAGATGGGAGAGGTGGCCCTGGAAAAACCCGGGAAGCGGGATGTAGGGGCGTCTTGTCCTGATCATGACTCACTGCGTGGCCTCCCTCAGGCCTGTGTCCCTAACTCAGGGGGCAGGAGCGCTCAGCTCTGAAAGTAGTGTGAGGCTGGGAACTGGGAGGCCCAAGGGCACCCAGATTCTGGTCTGTGCTCCTCCCAGGGGTCTGTGTCCCCTGCTGGGCTGGCCCCAGCCCCAGACTGGGAGTGTGTGGAGATGTGGGTAAGATGAGACGTCCAGGGGAGGGCCCGGGGCGGGCACTTCTGTTTCCTCTCCGTTGCTCAATGTGGATTTTCTTTAATTGAGCAATGTGCCTGACTGTCAAGAAATGGGGTAGGAAGTTTGGGGAGCCCAGAGTGGAGGCAGCTCGGGACACATTTCCCCGAAATCAGCTGCCCTGCTGGGGAGAGCTGAAGCTCCCTGGAAGACACATCCCTTGACCTGTGGGCTCGGAGGCCAGGAGGCCTTGGCTAAGTGGTGGTCTGCACAGTCCTGAGGCCGTGAGAGGCCTGGGCTGGAAGTCCTGGCCTTACCGGGATGCAGGCGGCGGTGAGCCCCCCGGCGAAGCCTGTCAGTGTCCTCCCCAGCAGCAGCATCCAGAGGCCACGGGCACCCGCCATGAGCGCATAGCCGGCTGCTGAGGGTACAGCCGAGAACATGATGCTGAGCTTCCGGCCCAGGAGGTCATTGAGGACCATGGCACTGAGGCCCCCAGCTGCCGCGCCCAAGGTGAACACGGACTGCAGAGAAAGGGTGCATGGCAGACAGGTCTGGGCACCCAGCACCCCCTTCCCCTATCAGAGCTTAGAGACAGCTGCTTTTCCAGGCTGACCCTGGGAGCCAGGGCTACAGGACTCAGGCCCCATGTGGTAGTGAGCCTCCCATCTCCAGAGGTATACAAGTAGCATGTGGACAACCATTTGTTAGGGATGCTACAATGGGGAATCCTGCTCTGGGGAAGAGGTGAGGCCACATGTCCACAGTGGTTCTGTCCAGCTGGATGTTTCAATGTCTAATATCATAATAGAGCAGACAAGGAAATCTGTGACTTGAAGCCCCTGGGACTTTAAGATTTGGGGGTTCTTGGATTCCCTGTAGAGTGTAGTGAGAAGGATCCAGTCAGCAACTTGGGCACGTTGCTCAGCCTGTCCGAGCCTCACTTTCTTCAGCTGTATTATGGGGAGAGAGGGTTGGTCCCAGAGCCAGCCAGCTCTCACGTAAAGTGCCAGCACACACGTGGCAGGCTGGGTGCTCAGTGCACACTGGGTACTACTGTCTCAGCAACTAAGTAGTGTTGTAAATCCCAGGCCACGAAGATTATAATTCTCAAACCCTGGGGCTTGCAGGCCTGTGCTCTTCCTTTCCACGTGCCCAGAGTCTGTCCGGGGCCCTCCTGGCCCCAACCAGGGCCTCTCTCCACTGGCCCTGATGCCCCTACGCCATCATCCGGGGAGGTGTCTGCTCTGCTGTGACAGCCCAGTTCTGGGTTTGGGGGTTCTGGGGAACCCGCAGCCCTGCGGGGAGACCTGGAGGCACACCTCCCCACTGCTCCTTCCCTGTCAGCTTTCACTTCCCCCATTTATTTCAGAGCCATCCTCGGGCCTCACTCCCCCGCTGCCTGTCCCGCAGCCTGGTGTGGGTGGGGAGGGGGCAGACCAGGGCCCTGGAGGGGGTCCCAGGGCCTAGCTGCTGACAGAGCTCAGTGGGTCCCTGACCCCTGCCCTGCCCCTCTCCAGCTCAGCATGGCCCTTACCCCAAACCAGGATGCCTGGGTTTTGGTCAGACTCAGGTCCGGATCCAAGGAGTGCTCCAGGGCTGGGATGACGGGGGACGTGTACACCAGGCCATATCCAAAGCTGAAATTGCCCAGCACGGCGGCGAAGGTGGCCAGGAACACCCTCTTGTTCTGTGTGGCCCTGGGGGTGGGGGGTGCAGAGCGACCAGGGTCTTTGAATCCCTCCTCACCGAACTGCTGCCTGTCCTGAGTCCAGTGACTGCTGGCCCAGAGGGCAGTCTGGGAGGGCTGCGTCCAGGGCCAGTCAGAGCCGCACCTCTCCAGGGCCAGCTCCCTTGGGAAGTCCCCAGGTCATGAGGACATTCCTCGCAGCCCATCACAGTGGCTGAGACACAGGTGCAGGAGCGCTTTTCTCCAGAAGAGGAAGCTTGATGTCTGCTCCCAGCTTTGCCACCCAAAGCTTACTGTGTGACCTTAGGCAAGCCCCTCACCTTTTCTGGGCCTCAGTCTCCCTGTCTGTGCCAGTTGGGGATGGGCCTGGTACTCGGGGGAACCAGCTCCTTAAATAGGTCTAGAGTGTCTGGAGCAGGAGGGGACCACATGGCCCCTTGGTGGCCACTCACCGAAGGTCAGTGGAGGCCCAAGGCGGGAGCCGGCTGCCCGCTGGAGGGGACTAGGGCCATCCCCAGCCCAGACCCGCAGCCCCCATGCCCAGCGACTCTCACCCGACCCGCGTCCTCTCTCCCGGCGACGGGGGCGGCTTCTCGGGGAAGGTGTCATAGTCCGGGGCCTCGGCTCCCAGCAGCGGCTCCTGCATGGCCGGCCTGTCGGGTCAGGGTGCGCCGAGCGCGGTGCTGCTGGTCCGGAGGCGCGTTGGGCCGCAGCTTCTCTGAGCGTCCGACCGAGCCCGCAGCTCCGCCCCCCGCTGCGATTGGCTCCGGGGCGGCCCTGCAGAGCCGGCGCCGGCCAATGGCGCGGCCGCGAGCGGTGCGGATGCTCGGATGCAGGCGCGGCGCCGGGGCGGGGCGGGGCGGCCGGGCTTTCCCGGGGCGCGGATGTTCGGATGCGGGGCGCGGCGCCGGGGCGGGGCGGGGCGGGGCCGGGCTTTCCCGGGGCGCGGATGTTCGGATGCGGGGGCGGGCTTTCCCGGGGCGCGGATGCTCGGATGCGGGGCCCGGCGGCCAGGGTTTCCCCGGGCGCAGCTCGCGCTCGTGTGGCCCCTGGAGTCCCCAGGGCCGGCGAAGCGGATGAGAACCCCGCACCGGGGGAGCCAATCGAAGGCCTCGTGGGGCCTGTAGGCAGAGCCTTTCCAGATTCTTCCGTGACCACGTCTGGGTCTGAGCCGGGTACCAGCAGTGGGGCGCAAACTGCCCTGCACCCTCGGGCTCAGCCCATACAGGCAGAAGGAAAATGAGGCCCAGAGAGGGAAGCGACTCGCCAAGGTTACGCAGGGAACACTTGTCTCCCTGCAGAGGAAGGCCCTGCGCTTCGCCTGGCTCCCTGCCACGTTGCGTCCCCGAGTCACCACTGCCTGGCCCCTCCACTCCCGTAAGGACGTGCAGTTAGCCTGTGGATCCAGGATGGCCGGCCGCAGCCGCAGCCGGATGGCCTGCGGGGCAAAGGCAGCGGAGGAGGGGTGGGTGGCCCACTGGGCCGGACTTGTGTTTTCCTGGTTTCTTTTTTCTTTTTTAAAGAAAGCCCCCCAGTACATAGCTATATATTCTAGTTGTAGGTCCTTCTAGTTGTGGCATGTGGGACTCCGCCTCAGCGTGGCCTGATGAGCGGTGCCGTCTCCAGCCCAGGATCCAAACCGGTGAAACCCTGGGCCGCCCAAGTGGAGCGCACGAAGTTAACTGCTCGGGGTGGCCCGATGTTTTCCCGGTTTCTGACTGTAGAAGTAACGTGGGCTTGTAGTGAATCCTCCAGGTAATAAGATAAAATTTAAAAATAAGAAAAGCAGAAACTGAAAATTCCCTGGAAGTTCATCCTCAAAAAATAACCAATTACTAGTTCCAGCTGTCCCTTTGGACTTTTTCAGAAAGAGAGGTCTGAATCAGACCCTATTCTGCTGGATGGGTGTGCCACGTATATTTATAAACCGCTCCTTTGTTGTTGAACATTTGGGTTATTTCCAAATTTTAGCTATTAAAATAGTGAATCGTTTAAAAAGTTACCATAATTACCTTTTATTATTGTGGACTGAAATAAAAAGTCTAGGTGACATTAGTGGAGGAGCTTATCAATAATCGGTGTGAGGAGGTCGAACCCCAGGAAACCATTCCACAGAGCCCTCTGATGGGGCTGCTCGAGGGTTGTGGGGCTAGGTGCAGCCTATATGGCTTTTTCATAAACGGCGCATGTGCAGGGAAGAGGAACAGAAAAAACAAATCAAAAAAAGGGGGTAGAGCCTATTTGGGCTTCTCTCTACATTTATAGCGAAGGTGACACAAACGAGAATTCCTTGGTTATTATATGTCAAACAAGTTCAGAGATGCTGACGTTATCTGTGTGTGGAGGGGGGTGAGGATCAGGGTCCTTGACTATTCCCTCGATCTCTAAGAACGCAGCTGGGGAGAGTGAGAGTGAGCCACCCTTTATCTCTTCCTGCTGTGGCTCTGTCCGGCGGCCTCCTGGGTCAGGAGGTGTGGGGTTCAAGGTCATTTGACACAGACTGACCATGGTCTGCATGGCCGCTTCCCAGGACAGCGTGGATGTTACTGCACTGACTTAAAGCCTATGCGGTTTGCTCGCTAGATTCACCCAGCAGGGAGACGGGTCCCAAAAATCCATCCACAGTCCCTCCTTTTGGTCATTATCAACCCACACCTGCAGTCATGACCAAAGGGGTGTTCCTTTGGTTTTTCTCTGACATGGTGGGGTCCTCTCATTTCCCTACTTATCTTACATGTCATTTATTAAAAACGCATTCAGGGTTGTTTTTACCTTCCTAGCTAACAAGATCCAGGTCTCATCCTATTGTTTCCTCCTTCCACACCTAGCGTAACATTGGAACAATATGATAATTAACACAATCAAAATGACAATTGTGAAGACAGTTCTTATCATTTTTCTCCCCAAAATGTTCCCTGGCGGAATTTCCTTGGAGATTTTCCTCAGGGTGTGCCCTAGATGATAGATGTATCCTGTGGAGTCAGGATTAATAGGAGGGCCTAAAACAGGTTTGTGTAAGGTGGATCTTAGACTCTGGGTCTTAGAGTTACACGTGAGTATTTGACTTATGGGCTCACAATGTTTTGGACTCAAAAGTGGCAACCTTTTCCCAAGACCAGTGGTTAGTATCTAAGAATGGAGATGACTTGGAAAGACAAATGTTGTGACAAGTGTAGGTGTGTCCAGTGAGAAACAAAAATAATGCATATTGTCCCTTACTTACTGGCCTGGTCCGGACTCTTGGGAGAGCTGTCCACATCGGCTGTCGGCTGCTGCCATCCTGGTCTCGTTGGTGTAGGTTCAGTCATAAATCTGAAACACGCTCTGAGGACACTCTGGTGTAGGCGCCCTTTTTAAGTGAGAATTGTAGATCCAAGAGTTTATTCCCTGTCATTTAGCTGCGCAGGAATTAGAAGGACTTGATAGGTCCTTCCCATTTAGGCTGCAAAGTTTTTCAAATGGTGACATTTTCAGTAAACGCAGTCACAGGCTGTGAATGATGAGTGCATATCTTCCTCCAGGGGTGAGTTTGCGGCGTATGCATCAGCAACCAATTCTGAGTGTTCCTTTAAGAGTTTGGTTAAGATTTTACAAGAATGAAGTATGTCACCTTTTAGTAATGAAGGTTCATATAATCCTTTATCTAGAGGCATAGGTCTCCCAGTAATGATCTCAAATGGAGACAACTGATGTTTGCCGAGGGTGTTGATCTTAGGTTAACAATACCAGTGGAAGGGCTTTAGGCCATGGTAGAGAAAATGCATCTGTGAGCTGAGCCAGTTGAGTCTTAATTATGCCATTTATTCCTTCCATTAGGCCTGACAATTGGGGGTAATAACTGCAGAGAAGACGCTGCAAAATAGGCCAGATTCTAGAAATTTCCTTTATACTCTGTCTGGTGAGATGAGTCCCAGGTCACTGCATGCTTCCACTGGACTCCTCATGCTGGTAATAGTTTACTTACTGACTGAGCAGTAGCCCTTGGGCATGGAAATGCTTCCGCCCAATGAGAGAAGATGCCAATCATCACAAGTACATGTTGGTACCTCGGGAGAGAGGCATTTGGATAAACTCCACCTGCTGAGTTTCAAGCAGTCCAGGTAAAGGGGAAACTCCCTTTGAACTCTGCAGGGGCCACTGTGGGTTGTGTTTAGGTGTCGATGAAAATAATCCATAACCAATCTGTAAGTGAAAATTTGGGAGAGTTTGTTCTGAGCTAAAATGTGAGGACCATGCCTGGGGCCTTTCTTCCCAAAGGAAGAAAGGGCACCGAAGAAGTGGGGTGCACAGAGTGGTTATATACCCCCAAATAGGATGTTTCACATGTGATTGAAATGTCCCTTTTACAATAGTCTCAAGACTGCTCTGTCGGCACAGTGCTTGATGGAAACAGCAGGTAGGTCTGCTGTCTCGGTGAACACAGCAGGGTGGCAGATCTGTTGTCTCGAGCTGGGTGGTCACAGGTGAGCTTGGTGGTCAAAGGTGAGCACAGCAATCAGTTCCCAGCCTAAGGAAAGATGCTTATCCCTAAGGAAATGCCAATGTGGGGGGAAGTTGCACCTTTATCTTAAGGCCATTTGTTCTTGCCATAGGAAATGTTTTAAAGCAGATATGCAATGCCTACTCAACGGCCTTGGTCAGGCCCTTTTGGAAAGACAAGGTCAGGCCGAATTAGGTTTACACCAAATGGCTTCCTCATATTCTCCAATATATCCTATTGTGTGCCATTTTTATTTGTCATTTTCCCCTTTTGATCTCTAATCTTTCGATAGAAAGCATTGATGATCAAAATATTGTTCCTTGACACCAGGGTGGTTGCTGCCTGCCCTGGGTCCATCATGTCCCTTGGTGCTAGGCTTTTATCTCATTTATTTGCCCAGTTGTCCATGTTGGGGGGAAATAGTGGACAAGCATGAAGGTATATGTATTAACAGAGGAAGCATTTCATATGTCATGTAATTTCCAATTAATTTTAGATTGTTGCACAAACATTGTATATGTGCTTTTCTATGACACTTCACATTTACACTGCATATGATCATAGAACAAGTATAGTAACAATAATAATTCAACATATTTGAAAACATTTGTTTAAAATGAGTTCTTAGGCAAAGTCTTTATCAGAAAAGGAAATTTGTCCAGGGTTACAAGACAGATCGACCATCTCAAGCCGTCGAGCAATCATTACTCTATTTTGTATGCTGCTTTTACAACACTGAGTAAAGAAAACAACAATTAGTTTGAATATTATGACCAGTACAAGGATTCCAAGAAGTAGTGGAAATAGGAATTGCAATCCAGATTGGAAAAGGGAAATGATACCGGAAGGGGGAGCCAACCAAACAAATCAAGACTGGGTGTGTTACTGAACCTGAAGTGAGTTTGCTCACCCGTTGTGCAGCAAGCCAATCTCTGACACCAGGTGTGGTGAAAGAAAGTGGGAATTTTATTTTGCATAGCGCTGAGCAAGGAGAGAGAGCAGCTAACGCTCAAATCCCAAACTCCCTGAAAAGCTGAAAGGAAGGGTTTTTATTTGGGGTTTTAGGTGGGGGAAGGGGAGCATATGGCCTTGCTGGTCGGAGCTTTCCCACCAGCCTGTCTTTGGCCTTGAGACACTTGCAGAGAGGAGGGAGCTCATGACCTTGCTGGTCAGCAGCTTTCCCACCAGCCTGTATCTCTTTGCGGGAGGAGATAGTCCAGGTGCTTGTCCTTGACGGGGTCTGTCTCCGTGGAGGATAGTGGA